TTAGAGTACATGTGTTTCAATTAGAAGTGCAGATGCTTCAGATTGAAGTACAAAAAAATAGAGGACTCTAGCAGGAGAGACAAAGTTTCAAGACGGCAATGGTAGATCTTCAAGGTGGCTTGGGAATCAAATCTAAGGTGAAGATTGTTAGAATTGTGTCTTTATTCTTTTATATAACTTAATGAGAATTAGATAGAGCTAGAGATCTATCATGATTAGGAGATTGAGTCTCATTATAATTAGGAGGTTATATCCTATTCTAATTAGGAAGTTTAGCTACGGGTAAGATTCTGGTTTTTCTATATATATATTCTTCTATTATTGGAGGAAAAACTAAGGAGAGAAGAGAGAGCTAATATTCTCGTAATTTAGGATTAGCAGAGGGCGTAGCCTGATTCAAGAATATTGTACGAGAGGTGAGTGTTTCGTAGTTTTTATCCGTATAAAAAATTACAACATTGGGAGAGAATTTCATAGTCTTTGTCCGTTCAAAAGATTGTAAGGAGTGATATTTGGATAGAATATGAGAGTTGATTATGCATGTGAGGTTGAGAGATTGAAAGATTGAGAGACGAGAGTTGAGTAGTTCCTCTTGCAATTCTCTCTGATACATAGTGAATTTCTCGTATTGTTGCCCCGTGGATGTAGATTGAAGTTGGTCGACCGAACCACATATATCTCGGTGTTCTTTCTTCTTAATTATGGTTGTTTTCTATTTTATTGATTATAGGTTTGCTTCCAAGTTGCGAAGATCCTAATATGGGGAGGAGTAAAATCCCCAACAAGCAGAGCACTTCCTCGGATATGCGCACGCCTTATTACTTCAACTCCAACTCCGGACTGTTATAGTCATGATGATTCATAATACGTAAATCCTAGTTATAAGTTATCAAAGTTTACCCGAATATTAGGGTTCTTTTCCTTCATCTTGTTTTTTTTCCACGAGTTTGACAAGCACATTCGATGCTTCACTATTCAACTCTCTTTTAGTTCCTAAATTGTGGGTCTTACACTTAACAATGAGATACTACATGTCAAATAATTGTCGGCATCCATTAGATCCGTGGAACTTGGTGGATGCTTGCTCAAGATACTCCAATTACAAATGTTGCTTTCTTCTTTGAATCATGAGCCAGTTTACTCTTCAGAAATATGGCAGTAAAATAAAATGAAAGTTAATCCTCAAGAAATTTGTAATATCAATAATATGTTAATAATCCACTTAAGATCCTTTTTGCCCTTTGAGAATTGAACCTGTTCTAAAGCCAACTTAAAAGACTTTTCCACTGCACTAATACCCCAAAGTCGTCATGAGGGTTGAGGGTTATAATTTTTATACTCTAGTGATGATAGTAATATGTACTGGAATTTAGCCTTGTATTTAAGTTGAAATGACAAAAGAACGCGTGAGGAGCAAGCAGCGACGGGCAGAGCTTCGGGTGGTTGGCTGAACAGTCCAACTGGATTGGTTCTCAAGCGGTAAATAGAACGCCCCTGATTAGGTCGAAATCCGAATCCTACTCATGTTAGGAGTACTATTTATGTTGTAGAACTTTACGAAAGGGGTATGATACAGGAGATCAAGTAATTGGACAAGTAATTGGACGAGACGACATCTCAACTAGTCCAATATCTGACGTCTTAACAATATCCGACATCTCAACTCAATATAAACCAAGTCATCTCAGCAGACGAGACGACATCGGAGCAGATGAAACGACATTTCAGCGGACGAGACGAGATCTTAGCAGATGAGACGAGGCGAACCAGGCAGAACAAGACGACACATGCCAGTCGACACGAAAGGCGGTACTAGTCGACACGCTTCGTGTCGACTGGAACAACAGTTGGAAATACATGCCCAGTTGACACGAAAGACGGTACTAGTCGACTCGCCTCGTGTCGATTCGGACATCAGATTAGGAAATAATTCGTTTTTGGTTATTTCCTTTTAGAAATAAAGTTTCTTTTTTTATTAGAGTTAGGATAGGTTTAGTTGGCTATATATAATAGTTCCTTTTGTAAATCAATAATTATTAGAGTTAGGATAGGTTTAGTTGGCTATATATAATAGTTCCTTTTGTAAATCAATAATTAACTTTTCAATTATTCAATCAAGAGAATTTTTCCTATATATAATAGTTCCTTTTGTAAATCAATAATTAACTTTTCAATTATTCAATCAAGAGAATTTTTCTACATTATTTTCTTTCTCAAGTTTGAGAAACTTCTGGCTTGTGGATTCAATCTTGTGAATTACCTGTTATTATCAAGACTCGTTGGCATCGGAACGATATCCGATCGACCTCCCCGTTTCTACGTCTTCGTCAAGTGGTATCATAGCTTCGGCTTCAACATCCTCGACAATGGCAGGTAACGGCGAGAAGGAGCTTTCTCTACAGGATCTTTCCATGAGGATGGATTTTATGGATGGAAGATTTAACACATTGGAGACGTCTCTTCAGAACCTTCAACAAGCCATTGAAAGACTTACCATTCACCTCAACAATGGAAATAACTTCGCCGACGGTCTTTACCTAGGCGGACCCAAAGTTAGGCAACCCCGACATCCACTCCCGTATAATCATCAACCTCTACAGTTCATTCCCCTCCAAATCAACCACGTCCAAACCAACCCCCTCCATATCACCCCTCTCCGCATCAACCTCCTCAATATCAACCCCCTCCACTCCTTCGATGACTTCCCAATCAAACTCTTCCCCATGATGATTACAGTGACGACGGAGCGGACTATGGTCACCAATTTGAAGGGCCATGGTATAATAATGTTTTGAGTGAAGAGGAAGGAGATCGACCTTATGGTAGAGGTCAGGGTAGAGGCTACAACCATCGTCACAACTACCACCGACAATGCCGATATCATCAGGATCAAGACTATCAGATGAAGGTAGAGCTTTCTTCCTTCGGAGAAAATCTGGACATAGAGGCTTTCTTGGATTGACTCTACGAAGTGGAGAAGTTCTTTGAGATGGCTAATGTGCCCGAAGCAAACCAGGTGAAGTTTGTAGCATATCGTCTTAAAGGAGGAGCCGCAGCATGATGGGATCAAACTCAAAACACTAGGAGACGACAAGGCAAGCAACCGATGCGGGTTTGGCGTCGCATGAAGCAACTACTACGAACAAGAAGAGGCGACTCAAAAGTGTTCAATGAAGGAGACATGGTGATGGTGTATCTACGGAAGGAACGTATGCCGGCTGGAACATACAGCAAGCTTAAGCCAAAACGATATGGATTGTTCAAGATTCTCAAGAAGATCAATGACAATGCATATGTAGTGGATCTTTCAGAAGAAATGGCTATGTCGAGGACATTCAACATGGCGGATATTTCTGATTATTATCCTTCAATCGAGTTGTATGCAAGTGATGCGAACTCAGAGACGAGTTCTTCTGAAGAAGGACGGACTGATACAGGAGATCAAGTAATTGGATAAATAATTGGACGAGACGACATCTCAACTCGTCCAATATCCGACGTCTTAATAATATTCAACATCTCAACTCGTCCGACATCTCAACTCAATATAAACCAAGTTATCTTAGCAGACGATACGACATCAGAGCAGATGAAACGACATTTCAGGGGACGAGACGAGATCTCAACAGACGAGACGAGGCGAAGCAGGCAGAACGAGGCGACACATGCCGGTCGACACGAAAGGCGGTACTAGTCGGCACGCTACGTGTCGACTGGAACAGCAGTTGGGAATACATGTCTAGTCGGCACGAAAGAAGACACCAATCGACTCGGCTCGTGTCGACTCGGACATCATATTAGGAAAGAATTCGTTTTTTGTTATTTCCTTTTAGAAACAGAGTTTCTTTTTTGTTAGAGTTAGGATAGGTTTAGTTGGCTATATATAATAGTTCCTTTTGTAAATCAATAATTAACTTTTCAACTATATATAATAGTTCCTTTTGTAAATCAATAATTAACTTTTCAATTATTCAATCAAGAGAATTTTTCTCCATTGTTTTCTTTCTCAAGTTGTAAATCAATAATTAACTTTTCAATTATTCAATCAAGAGAATTTTTCTCCATTGTTTTCTTTCTCAAGTCTGAGTAACTTCTGGCTTGTGGATTCAAGCTCGTGAATTACCTATTATTGTCAGGGCTCATTGGCATCAGAACGATATCCGATCGGCCTCCCTGTTTCTACGTCTGCGTCAGGGTATCTACCAGGGTTATGAGAGCTTATAAGGAAAAAAAATTACATAATTGTAGAGGGTGATTGAATAAGTGTGTAAAGAGGAAACAAAGGAGGATATCCTAGGGTCAATGAGGAACTTCTATGAGATCAAGTGGAGGATTTCTTATGGTGATCTTGAAAAACTCAAGAAATACTAGATCTTGTGATCTCTGGTAATATAAGTAAACTCTAATCTCTCCCCTTGGACGTAGGTGATTGATGAACCACACTAAATCATTTTCTTTTGTCTGATTTACTTTTCTGCAAAACTTTTGGTTGCGTTTTTCTCGGATTTGCTCCTCATGTGTTTCCCACTCCTTTGTTAGGAGTAGATCTAATTGGTTCTGGACAAAGCTTCCACATATCCCAAACACCAATTTCATCGGTTTCCAGCAATAATTAAGAGGTATATGATGTCCCTTAAATTGATTTAAATGGACAAAAATTATTCATGCAACAAACCCTCAACTAGAGGACTATGGCATTTCAAGTCTGATTATTTCTATTATAATCTGTGGAATATAACATTATGTACCTCTCACTAGACATGATTAGGAAGTTTAACTTGTATGATAATAACTGTTTTAGCATCAGAAATTTTAGAAAAACCGACACCTCCACCCAAAGTGTATGTATGAACAGATACGTGTGCAATGTGCATGCATGTGTGGGTGAATATAAATTGTATAGGCAGAGTAATAGATGATATCAAGCCAATCTAGGGTTACATGCATGCAGCACAATAAATGATACCAAGCCAATCTCTATGGTTTCGCCACAAACAAACCTGTAAAATATCTATAGCTGCAAGGTAAGCTCGGACGTTGCAGTTTGAGTACCCCCAGCCTTTCAAATCTACAATGATCATGGCCTTCTCTTGATCTCTTGAAGTTCTATAATTGTCAAATGAAGTAAATATGAAACTTAAGATAAATTTTCTTCAAAACATTTCATTATCTTTTGAAATCCAGAAAATTTAAATATACTAAGTATAATAATGAATTCTTTTTCTGCACATAATTAACTTGAAAAATAATATTATATGATGTTTGGGAGAAACACCAACACTATAAAGAATAACAGATTATTTTCACATTTTCAAAAAAATATTCAGGTTTCCGAGATGATACCTGCTGCATAATGTGTCGAGGATAGACACAACGAAACCTGGGACAAAAACCAGGTTCTACTCAATTTCCTTGATCAAGACTGCAAAATATAATCCATCTTTAGAGGAAAATAATGACTTACGCTTATGTTCGTCCATTCCATGCTTAGCATTAAATTTAGCTGCAATCGCAACTCCTAAAGGGTGGCCTTTTCTATCGAATCCTTGCGCAAAGAATTTCCTCTCAGCAAGCTCATTTTTCACTTCAGCATCCGATATAAATCCATTAGGGACAAATTCCCTCTTCCATTTGAGATATTTAAGGAACATGGTAGAGGCCTTGTCTATGTCTAGGTCACGAGCTCTCAAGAATCTTCTGATCATGAAATTGTCTGCCTCCTTTACACAAGACAAAGTTTCAAAGATTTAAGGAAATTAGTTATGCAAAGAAGAGATCTTGTGACTAATTCTAAATAAAAAGGAGATGCTCTACAATAGCGCTATGATGAACTAACATGATTATCTAAATGATGGAACAAAGTGAAGGGAATAAAATCAAGAATGCTGGGGATTATCTCGAGAGTCGAGAGGTCTAAATTGAGAAATAACAATTAGGTAAAGCATTTACCATAACCACTGTCTCTTTTCAATTTTACATGTATTCATAAGGCAATTAAAAAGATATGACACCAATGTGTCTTGTGTAGTGATGGGGATCGACCTTGTGGTTCATCTGGAAGAAACAGAATCAATGTATCTGTAGCGAACGAATCAACATTTCGAGAGAAATCAACTACAATTCATAGAACTTACAGATTTTTTTCTATTTTTTACTAAGAAAACAGGATGGGATTCCAAAGAAATCCCAGCCGAAACTTACAGAATTCTGGTTCACACATTTTAGTAGGAAAGCGCAATTTTGTGCTCTTCTTGTGTACCTCTCTACTTACAGAATTCTGGTTCACACATTTTAGTAGGAAAGCGCAATTTTGTGCTCTTCTTGTGTACCTCTCTGTATCAAGATATACCATATAATATTTTGTATTGTGTCCTTTTACTTTCAGTATGTACAAATTTAATTCTGTCCTTTTACTTTCGACTAGTGTGAACACCGTGCAAAGCACGACATATTTTTTCCCCACTACAGTAATCCCGGTTTTAACTGCTACATGAAATTTTTTTGAATTTTTGGATTGCTACAGTATCCCACCTCGGCTACAGTATTACTGTGTGCTACAATAATATTTTTTTCAAAAAACAGTGTCCAGTTCATGTTTGCTGTAGTAAATATTACTGTAGCATTTTCATTGTATCGTGAATGCTGAATTTTGGGTTCTCTCATTTGTATAGAGGAGTAGATATGTACAAATTTCTTTTTTTTTCAGGGTAAAAGACTTTAAACATTTTCACACAGGGGCCTATCTACAACAGTAAAACTATAGGGGTTATCCGCAATTAACAAATCTACTCCTCTATACAAATGGGAGAACCCAAGATTCACTAGTCATATCACTGTAGCAATCCAAAATTCCAAAAATTTAAAATCGGGGTTACTGTAGCGGGGAATGTTCACACTGGTATGTACTAAGACCCAACTTTTTCCCTGAAAAAAACATCAAGTGAATTATGTTCAGCATCTAGCTCACACTTTATTCAGACTATTACAAAGTAATCAACTAACGGCAAAAAAAAGGGACGCTTCTAAATTATAAAAGCTGAAAAGAAATAAGAATTAAAATCTAAATACTTTAGAACTAACAAGACACCACAAAGCATACCAACTTCAATGTTAGAAACCTACAAAAGACAACATAATGATTCACATAAATGATTAAGAAATACCACACAAGTAGGATGATAAATTTAGTTGAATGATAAATATAGAGGTGAACAATTAAAGGGTCCTAAAATCAAGCATGAAATCATCCAAAAAAAAAGAAAGAAAGAGGCAAACCTTAGCTTGTGGATCTTTGTCTTCAACAAATGCCCTCATTAAACCCACTTTTTCCCACTCCAAATCCTCATCAATTAATGGGCTACAGCTTCCTTCTGAACCCATTAACCCCCCTTCTTTGATTTTCAGCGGAGAGAAGAAGAAGAAAGAAAGAGAAGACCAGAGAAATTGAGAGAGTATTATTTAAGGAAAGAGATGGGTCTGAGAGCAAGGGCAGCAAGCTCTGTTCAGAGCTCTCGAGGCTGACGTGGCCGTGGAATTCGGCAGCCCCCCCTCCAGCAAGCTCCTAACCCCTCCCAAGCCCCACTCCTAAGAGCAAGTGCAGCAAGCTCCCAGTTGGGAGTGCTAGTCAGCATGCTCTCAAGAGCTCTAAAGCATTTTAGAATAAAAAATTAACAAATTAAGCCTTGGAAGGCACTCCTTCATTTATGGAGCTCCAACAAGCTCCTAGTTAGGAGCTCCAACAATATCAAAAAAACCCCTCTTCTATTTTAATATTTTACCCATTACTTTTAATTATATTTAAACCTCTTGTATTTTATTTCTAACCGTTGGATGCGGCCTTCGAAGGAGCGCACACGGTCTTCGAGGCAACCCACGGTATTTGAGGGAGCGCACACGGTCTTCAAGGTAACCCGCGGTCTTCGAGGTTGGGCACGAAGTTCGAAGTATCGCAAACTTTGATCGTCAACCGACTGATTCCTATAAAATTCGATGGCTTCTCTCCTCAACCCATCATCTCCCAGAATAAAATGTCTAGCTCATCTAGTTCTAGCGATGATGAAATGATAAAGACGTTCTTTCTTATGGGAGCTGCTGTCGTTGGGGAAGAAGAACAAGAGAAATGTTCAACTTCAGTTCAACACAAACGACGTATCGTGCTCCATCGAAACCGACTGGAAGGCCACAATCGGTTATTCCAAGATTATTTTGCTGACGCACAAACCTATCCTCTTTATTATTTTCGTCAAAGGTTCAGAATGAGGCGTTCGTTATTCCTTCGAATCCACGACGCAGTCGTCGAACATGATAAGTACTTCGTCCAAAAGAGGAATTGTGCTGGACAGTTAGGACTATCTAGTCTTCAAAAGATTACTGCAGCTATGCGGATGCTCGCATATGGAGCAGTTAGGACTATCTAGTCTTCAAAAGATTACTGCAGCTATGCGGATGCTCGCATATGGAGCATCCGCTAACTCCGTTGACGACTACGTTCGGATCGGTAAAAGTACGTCGCTTGAGAGCTTGAAGAGGTTCGTTCGATCGATTATCAACATCTTTGGAGAGGAATACCTTCGTGCACCGACTAATGAAGACGTTGCACGCCTGCTCGAGGCAGGCTCACAACGAGGTTTTCCTGGTATGCTTGGGAGCATCGACTGCATGCACTGGACATGGAAGAACTGTCCAACTGCCTAGCAAGGTATGTATACTGGACATTTTCATGAACCTACAATTATTTTGGAGGCCGTAGCTAGTAAAGATCTTTGGATATGGCATTGCCTTCTTTAGACTGTCGGGGTCTCACAATGACCTTAATGTTCTACATCGTTCACCGGTTTTCGCACAACTTTCGGAGGGAAGAGCTTCACCGTGCAACTATACTGTCAATGGCCACGAGTATAATATGGGATACTATCTCGCCGACGGGATTTACCCAGAGTGGTCCACATTAGTGAAGACTATTCCAGCACCTCGAGGAAACAAGCATAAGTACTTTGCTCAACAACAAGAAAGCGCAAGAAAAGATGTTGAGCGAGCTTTTGGCGTGTTGCAAGCTCGATTTGCGATTGTTCGTGGACCAGGACGTTTCTGACAACCTTGTGTGCTGAAAGATATCATGACAGCTTGTATCATAATGCATAACATGATCGTTGAAGATGAACGTGATTGTCAATTGGACAACAACTTCGACTTTACTGATTCGGTACCAGTCGTTGAACCTTCTCATGTGTAGACGGTGCCTCTAACTGAGTTCATCCAAAATCATCATCGGATCAAGAACACGAAAACACACAAATCACTAAAAAATGATTTGATCAAGCATCTGTGGCAGCTTAAGGGATCCATCACCGAGGATTAAGTTTCTTTATGTCTAATGTAATTTCAGAAAAGGAGTTCAAGTTGTTGTACTACGCCAATTTCATTTTCAATAAAGTAGTTGTTTTCATTCAATGCCAAAATTTTCAACTTCAAGTACAATCATAAATTTAATATAAGATAATATTTGATAATTAGGAAGAACTAATGAGGATGCTATGCGAGTACAATATATGATAATTAGGAAGAACCCTTGGACATCCACCTCTCCAATATCTCCGCCTGACGCATTTCAAAGTATTGTCGTTGAACTGAATTGAGTGTTGAGAGATCGATCTTCATAATATCGTCATCTTGTTTCTTCTGTTTTAGCTCCATTTTTTCTTTGTTGGTTTGCTTCATCCACGCGAAAGCCTCTCCCATAATGGACTTAGCGGACTCAGATTTGTCCACATTTTGTTTCCTCTTGAGTTTTGCCGCTTTCCTCCCTTCAGGCCTTGCTATAACATCATCCGAGTCAATGTTCAACTCGATGGGGGTCGCTGGCATGGAGTTGTTCGGTGAGGAATCAGAGTTCGTGATTCTTCTTGGTTGTGATCGAATCTTATTGTAAGTTTCCATTTGTTGGTTCCATTTTTGGTGATGACGCAACTCAACCCTGCAATGGTCCAACACGAATGGCTTACCATAAAGGGATTGGTATAATTCTTTTACTTCTGCAGTCTACATAAGAGTTAAATTTAGAATAATCAAACATATAAGTTAAATATTTACATAAAAACATATAAGTTAAATATTTACCTGGTCAATAATTCCAGTACCAGATCTTTGTCTTCCTTCAATCTGAGCAACGCACCCGCAGAACTTGTTGACCAACAGTTGAATCGTTGACCAACGATGCATCATTTGGTTTGGTGTGCGACTCGTTAGATCGGTGGTGTATTGGATAAAGTAGTCGTTAGCTCTGTGCCAGAACTTATCTTTGTGTTGCCCCGTGCCTTGGATGGAGTCTTGGCTCGTGTTCAGCCAAGCAGACACAAGAAGCTTATCCTCATGGGTAGTCCAATTTTCGGACCGCGTGTAAGCCTTCTTCTTCTTTGTGGTCGGTGTTTCTTGGGATGACACTTGTTGTATTGCGGATTGCGATAACTCGATGGGATGACCTTCTTCTACGACTTCTGTATAGAACGGCGAGTATAAGGTCGATCCTTCACCGGTAAGGAGTTGCGAATAGTAGTTGTTTTGGGAGGGATCCATGAGATTTGTAATTTGATAGGAAAGTATAGAGTTTTTTTAATGAGAGAGTTGTGTGGAATAAGTTGTGTAGTGAATTGTGAATTTATAGAGTTTTGCTTACTGTTCAACAGTCATTTTTTCACACAACGGTAATAATTTTCACTCAACGGACATTTTTTCACCCAACGGTACTGTTTTTCAATCAACTACGAAGTTGAAAGCTAATTAAAAAAAATACATCACAAGCTCAAACTTCAACAGCCAATTAAAAAAAACATCAACACCACATCTAACACCATAGCCAATTAAAAAATACATCACAACTCCTCTTCGTCATCTCCCCTTCTTCTTTTCCCCAGCTCATTTCGTTTCCCCAAATCATCTTCATTTTTTTTCTCCATCACAAGCTCAAACGCCTCCACTCTTCTTCGTTTCCAACCCCGAACACCAACACCACATCCAACACTGCAGATCTCTGGCTCCCCAACCCACGAATCTCCGGCTCCCCTACCCCGAACACCAACACCGCATCCTCCGCCGCCGCCGATCGGAGCCGATCGGAGTAAAGACCATCTGCTCTAGTCCGCCGCCACCGATTGGATTAATTTGAGACGAAAGGTTAGATTTCATTCTTCATTTTTGGGCAGATCTGAGAAGGTGTACTTGTTGGGGGGGGTTTGTTAAATTTTGGCCAGTTGGGAGCTCCCAAGCGCTCCACAAATTTGTGGAGCGCTTGGGAGCTCGGAAGCTCCCCAAAGCCAGGGAGCACTGTGCTAATAATTGACAGCTATCGGCATTTGACTACAAAACAATGCATTTAACTCCCCATAAATGGCGAAAAGCTCTCCATTATTTTTGTACGGCGAGTAGTAGGAATCACAGAGATTCCACTTACAGATGCCAACGAGTACAGAAGAGTGCAATTTCATCTAAGAGCAAGTGCATCAAGCTCCTAGTTGGGAGTTCTAGTCACCAAGCTCTCAAGACCTCTCAAGCATTTTAGAATAAAAAATTAAAAAAATAAGCATTGGGAGGCCCTACTTCTTTTATGGAGCTCCAACGAGCTCCTAGTTAGGAGCTCCACCAATATCAAAAAACCCCTCTTCTATTTTAATATTTTACCCATTACTCAACGGTCATTTTTCAACTCTAATTGCTCATTTATTATTTTAATATTTTACCCATTACTCAACGGTCATTTTTCAACTCTAATTGCTCATTTATTTCATTTACCAGATCTTTGTATCTATTCTATTTTATTAAATCATTAAAAAAACAAACAAAAAAGACTGAGCCACTTAAAATTCTCATGAGGAATACCAAGTCCCTTCTCATCTCCCCTCATCTCAAAAGAGACCTCTTCATATCCCCAACCTCAAACCCAGACCTTGAGACCTCTTCATCTCCCGTCGAATCAAATCCACGCCCCTTCATTTCCCGTGTCAAAGTCTCTATTTTGCTGAGGACTTGCCGATCGGAGCTCAGGCCTTGCCGATCGGAGAGGGGACTTGCCGATCGGAGATGGTCTATCAGGTTAGAACCGATCAAAGTCACTATTTTGATTAATCGAGCATTCTTCATTTTGGAAAAGGTTGGATTTTTTGCTTCCTTTTTGGGCAAATTTTGATCACTCTACAATTGTGTTTTTGTAGGGGGGTGGTTTTGTAAATCTTGCACAGCTTGGGAGCTCCCAAGCGCTCCACAAATTTGTGGACCTAAGGAGATGGCTTGGGAGCTCCTTGGGAGCTTGCTGGAGGGCTTGCAAACTCTCCCACCGCCACATAGGCCTTGAGAGGGGGCGCAAGGAGCTTGCTGCCCTTGCTGGGCTGGAGACTTGAGGTCACTTTTTTTTTGTTTGGTTTATTTTAGAAGGGTTTTTTAGACTTTAGTCCTTTGCATCTTCAATAATTTTATATGACTCCGTCAAGTCTTTGAAATTGTGTTTGCATGCCCTTAAGCTGCTCGGATCCTAAAGGCTGTTTGTAGAAGATTGCAATTTCGTCGAAGGGGTGGAGACTTTGAAGTCAGTTTGTTTATGGGGTGATTGCATATTAGTCCCTTATCCTTAAGTCAGTTTTTCAAATGCGGTGATTGCATACTAGTCCCTTACATCAACCTTAATTTCTAAATAGTCCCTCAAATATCAGTGTTTGATCAGCAGACCCTCAAATCTTCAATTTCTTTGCAAAATTGTCCCTTTGACTATAGTTTGGTCAAGCATTA